CAGGAGGAAAACCGTGTCCAGGGAGACGAAGAGGCAGCCTCCTTATCATATACATTTGAGATCAAAGATGTGGCAGGTGAGAATTAAGAGTGCTTTGTAAACAAACTGGACACGGTAAGGGGCGCTAGGGGAGAGCATGGTGACCCTAGGATGCCCCTCCTGCTACAATGGTGCTACAGGATAGTACTTGTGCTTACAAATACTAACCTATGGCAGTATTTTTTTAGTTTACTGCAACCTGCACATATAAACACTGAGACTTTATTGCAGAGCTAATTAGGCAACCCCTCAACAAATGTCTTGTGTAGATGTGCCCAGAATAGGTAATAGAATTACTCCTACACTTCAGTGGTGGAACACAGAGTGAGTCATGGGTGACTGGTGCCACCTTAGTCAGGGAGGGCACGTGCATCCCCAGTGACCAGTCAGTGATTGGGGGTGGTCCCCCACAGCCAATATCACCAACTGCAGGAGGGGGGGCTGTGGTAAAACTTACTCCATGGTAAGCGGCCGTGCTGCTCCTGAAAGTGGCCGTGGTGCTTCTGGAAGTGGCTGCAGCCTACATCTGGTGCTCCTACTCCCCAGCTGGTGCTTGCAGAGGGGGCACCAGTAGTTTCAGGGGGTGCATGTGCACCCCCTACGTGTCACCACTGGAGTGAGTCTCAAGCTGTGCTTTGGTCTTACACAAAATTAAATTGGATTCTGCCCTCTGTTTTCTTCACCTGCAGATGTCATACTTGTCATCCATAGTTCACTTATTCCTGACAAGCACAGTTTTCATGACAGTTGTAACCTGGAGAGAGAAAAGTGATCTCAGAGTGGGTGCAAGCCTATTTTATTGAGGAATCCATAAAGTTTTTAAAAAGTCAATGAGTCATATTTGAACATGCTAACCAAATTACATAGTCCTCAAGCAGTTAGCAGCCTGGTTTGTAAAGTGAATCTATACTTGAATACCTAAATATCATGGGTGCCTAAATACCATGGGTCTTACCATGTAAAAGGCCTGGATTATTATCTGCCTCAGGCTGTGCTCATCAACATGTTATGACAGTGTATGGGTTTTCTATTTTTAAATGGGTGTTTTATTTTTTAGGTCCAAGTATCCTTTGAAGTCCCATTTGCAGTAGTCTTTCAGGGGAATATCTGTATCTTCTTGTCCCTTGGCTGAACTGACCAAAGTTGAATGTCCATTTTTACTCAATGCTGGTTCCCTATACTCTCTTTCCTCTTTGTCTAGTATAGCCTTAAGTTGCAGCTACTTTTTTCCATAAAGTGTCCTTCCATGGTGGTCTTTTTTTATTGTTTGGAACCAGCACAGAGGTCTATATTAGCTTACCTCATTGTTAACATATCAGTGGTGTGATCCAATAGATGTGCCATGCTTATTAACCAAAAATTACCAAAGTATGTTCAATTTCTGTCCAAAGTAATTATTAGAAAAAGGTTATGTTCTCTTGAAATGAGAACAACTTAAAACAGACGGCTGGACGTGGTTCAGAACATACATGGCTCAAACTAAAGGCAAAACTGTACCCACATTTTTATTATATCATCCCAAACACAACACTTATTTTGTGAATTACCATACATTTTAAAGCAAAACAAAATCAAACCATCTTCCCTTGTCTAAAGATTTTATTCTTGTTCTATAATTTAATTGTTTTTATAGCCTTATCCCCTAAGCATTAATAAACATTAATAAAGTTCTATTCTTGCCTATGAAATCTAGGTAACAGCTGCAAAGCAAAAGATTCTGTTGTCTGCAATAAAGCCATACAGTTCTTAGCTGACCAGTATCCAAAATTTAAAAGCTGTATCTGCACCAAGAATGATTCTTGTAGCATCGAAATGTTGCTTGAACAACAATGTGGCCTTAAGAAAGGTAAGCAATATACCGGATAGTTCAATAATATGCAATGTAAAGGGAAATGGAATCATGTATGAAATTTTACTCTTCACAGTAAGAAAGTTACAGTTTCAAGTTCCTGTATGTGACTGCTACATCAAATAATGTCCTGCAGGCTTTTAATTTGTTTTCCTTTTTCTAAAATACTCACATGAATAAATATATATAGGAAAATAGTGTGAAAGATCAGTTTCAAAATTAACAAAAGTAAGATAAATCAGAGAAAAACTAAAGATATTCAAATATAAGGCTGAATTTTTTTTTAACTTGCCCTGATAAACCTAGCTATTGTAGCACATATAATAATATACGGGGTCAGATTCTGTGGTTCTTATTCACGTCATGTTATATTCAGTGGATGCAATTTAGCAGTCTTTGATTTAAACTTCACTAAGTTAAAGAAAGATTTTAGCTCTTTCTTTGAGTAAATAGCAATATTTAGACAAAGGAAGGTTTAAATATTCTGGTCTAGAGAGATCTTTTAACCTAAAGATTAGAAGATCTCACATATGGTATGTAAAATAAGCCACTGAATGGGTGGCTGTCAAATATGCAGTAAGATTGATTGATTCTCCACTCTGTTATATCAGTGTTACACTGGCATAACTCTACGGCATATCAGTGAAGATATAACATTACCAAGCTGCTGTAGAAGAGTAAAGTGACCTTTTTCCCCTGTAGGAAAAGGTAGCAAATGAGTGATAAAGAAAATGTTAAAGGCCTGGTTCAGAATTCCCTACCAATAGGAGTGGGATTGTATCCTTATTGATTAAATATATTAAATCAAATTCCTCCCTAGTATAATATAATGGAGATGCGCCTGGACTAAACTTTGTCTTCAGTTGATAACACAACATACACAGTAACTTCAGTGAGAGCATTTTCATTACTACCCATTTTAAGTGCTAAACTAGAGTGTACATTATATTATGTGGATTTTTGTGCCTATCTAATAAATAGAAAGCAGGTGCAGTAATCTATAAGAATATGAAATTCTTATGAAGTAACATGTTATTTATCAAAATCCAAACTATTTAAATCATAATTACTATGGTAAGTTATTATATTAAAATTAGCACTTTATAATTCTGTTTGTTTCACTAATACCTTTGGAAAATAGCTTTTAACAGAATTTCTTTAGAGCTGCGTAAAAGATAATTGTGCAATGTATATCTAAATTCAGATTTATTTTTTCAGAACATATGGACCCTTCAGCAAATTCAGATATCCAGTTAAACTTCACGCTGCACACAAAGCACAAAGACCTAAAACACACAGGTGAACGAGAAAATGACTGCAATATTGCAAAGCAAAGCTGTCGAGATGACCGCTACTGCTTTGTGGAGTATAAGAACTTCCAAAGGGTATGCAGAGCAGAGGTAGCACAATGCAGTCTCCAAGTTGTTGGGAAACAATGTTTGTCTGCGTGGAAGAACCTGAGAAAAACAGTCTTAGGGAATTGCAGGTGTTCAGAGCCACTTCAAAAACGGTGTACTAAAATATGGAAAAGCATCTTTAATAACACCTGTCTACAGCATGCAAAGGAGAATATAGCTTTTGATGAAGAAGACTATGATGATGAGAGAAATCAGGACGCTGGTACAGGTTCGTGTTGCTTTAGAAATACGTTTTGTCATGCTATTCTGCTTACAATACGCATAATATGAATTATTAATAGAAATCATGTTTCAATCTAGAATTAGATTTCAATAGTGATTTAGACGTCTGCGCATATTCCAAATAATGAAAAGATCACCAGGGGAGGCCATTTAGTGGAACAAAATAGCTGTAACTCTCGGCTGTACTAGGGAATAGAGAATCCATTATCATCTCAAGTTTCTGGGGCAGTTCACATATTGGATTATTTATTTGCAGTGACGTTTGAAAAAAGAGTATTTTGAGAACCTTTTTACATGTGTGTGACTATCTGACAGCATAACAATTAGCAGGGTAAACATAGCTTGGAATTGTGTCTTCATATATGTGTGTATGGAACCAAATCCAAAGGAATACGTATCCTGCGTAGTAGTGCCTTTTCATGCCACTAATAGAGTACTATTATTAATACTACTTAATAGTATTAAAACATAACATAACATAACATAAATAAAGAACAGTAATATAGTTTGCATTTATTAAGGGGCAAGATTATTAAAGGGGGGTCCATATATGCATAACAGTAGGTTCATAAGCCTGCATTTGTTCATGAGAGAGTTTGATTTTTTACATGGCCCGGGTTTATCTAGGACGTCCTGAACTTCCATACTCACAAACCATAAGCTCATAAACAGGGTAGTGGTGTTGGCAGTGGAAAGGAAAGCTCCTGTGCATATTCGCCTTGATATCTATAAGTAAATATAATGTAGCCTTTATGGTTTCTAAACAAATTGACAATTTCTACTTGGTCAATCTTATTTGTTTTTTCTCTTTACTTTTCTTTCTGAGCTGTTCCTAGCACAGCAGCCAATAAAGCGGTACATTAAAACTGACAACACAGTTGACACAGGGGATTTATTAACGCTGCGTATGTTCTATATCCCATATTTTTTTCGTTTAGATAATATTAACATGGAAACTAAATTACAGTGGAATTTATCTGCTCTTTCCAAACAAGGTAAGGCTCATTTATATAGTCATTTATAGTTCTTATTTACTGTTTTTTTCTATCAGCCTATAATAATGAAAAATGAAGCTTCATATAGATTAAATAATAATGCCAAGACTCAAAATAACTTAAAATTTGGGATTTAGTAAACTTCAAATTGTTTGCAGCTAAGTTTTTGCATACACAAGGATCCCAAAGGAGTAAAAATTCTAATCCCATTGAAGTCAAAAGTAAAACTCCCACTGATTTCACTGAGGACAGTGAAATACCATCCTCAAATGATGAGAAGGGCATAAATGCTTATTCACAGTTTAATTGAATTATTTTGAAAAGTCCCTCCAACCTATTGAGATTTCCTTTGGCAAATTGCATTTCAGTTGATCCTTCAGACTCCCAAACAAGATCTAGCCCTCTTTCCTGATAGTACTTTCTTCAAGGAACAGTTTTCCTCTTGCACTCTTTTCAGAAGTAAATAGCCTGGTAAATGTCTTCCCTAGGGTCTTTATGGAAGTAAATAGTGACCTAGTCTAATTCTCCCAGATATCAAGTTTATGTAACAAATTACCCAAGAAATAGTTCAAGGTTGCCATTAAAATGTTACTGTTAGTTGCTATTTCAATATAAACCTTTTGGTAACGTTAATTTCTCAACACTCTATTTTGCCTAGAAACTAAGCAATCAATCCTTTGAGATACTGCATCTATTTTACGAGGTTTTGAGTGCTTTGAAACAATAATGGACTTAAGAAATCAGCATTGTGAATACCTTTACTGGGGTTTTATACAATATCAAAAGAGTGCAAGGCATGTCACAAGTACAATAAAGTCATTCTCTGACATGAAGTACAATCTATGGGTATAATCATGGCTCCAGTGAAATCACTGGCAAAGTCGAATAAAGATTTCAGTCTAAATAGCTTAATGATAAATGTATTATTGCAGAATTAAGGTTGCCTGCTGGTAAGATTTGTCCATCAGGTCTAGAAACACATGGTTAGCAACATTCAAGCACCTAGGCATCAGAATCAGAGGGTTAAGGTACTTGAACTTCTGAGAAATAAGGAAATGCAGAATTAAGATGCATACAGTACAGTCTTAATGCTGCTGCCCTTGAGCTAGTAATAGTCACTGAATTTTATACTCTTTAATTGCATTCACTGTGATACTTGTGTTGAACAGAGACGGATTAGTTGGAGCAGCGTAGCATGCCCATCTGCTCATCCCTGCATTCGTCCCAATGACATGAGTACCGCTATTTCTCATTTCAATACTGACTTCTGTAAGTCAGCAGCTGGAATTGTTTTCTGGTTGTGGGCTGGAACGACCTAGCTCACATCTGAAGTAAGCCAGCACTGAGGTGGGGCCCATCAACCTCTGCTGCTTCTTCTGGCTGCCTGCCTGTGGATTGGTGTTGGCAGAGCTCCCCTTCTGCTGAAGCCCCTGCTACCGAGCTGGGGGAAAGTGTGAGCAGAGACCCCTCTCTGCCAGAACACCCAGTGCCTAGTTGTGACATATTGTAGGCCAAGATCCCCACGGCTGAATGCTGATGAAGCTACTGCTTCATGGGCTGAATTCAAAGGCTCCATGGTCTGGATACAACCTAAGGGCCTTAGGTTTCCAAACCCTGTTATAAGTCATTGCAGGAACTTTTTGTGGTTTCCTTGAAGTGAGGTGAGATGTGAAAGCGGTCTATAGATTTAATATGGGGAAGTGACAATACAGTGTTAGATGACATCTTCTGGATAGGACTAGGGGCCTATAACATTTTGTAGGTGTGGCATGTGAGCCAGATAGAGACAGATGTCTTTAGCAAAGACAAGCTCCTAGGTGCTATTGTACAGCTCTCAGGTGCTCAATTCTGTAGTCTTCTCTGCTACCTGAAAGGCAGATGCAAGTATGTGTGTTATAGATACATTGGGTCAGTGCTCAAAAGTGATAAAATGTAGGTATATCTAAACTTCAATGACTGCACATTCTTCAGAAATATCTGAGCACCAGAAGCAATCTAGTCACAGTAGAATGGAGGTCAACACAGGCTATTGCCTCTCATACAGCTTGCAGTTCTTGGTTTTCAGAAACTAAAGTCTGATGTATTTAGCCCAAGAAAGCATCAGCACTTTAGAAGTCATTTAACCATAAAAAGCTCCTCCTTCCTGTCTTTTACCTTCTGCTGCTCCATGCACAGCAGATAATCTGAGAGTTGCTTAGCAGGGGCCTGTGGTGGCAAATAGGAGAGTGAAGATGGGGCAATGGGCATGATGAAGGGAGTGATGGAGGAGTTCAGCAATAAACAAGTCTGATTTGGGAGGAATATTGGGGTTGTAGCAGAGATTTCATAGTGTTTTCAATGGGAGTCCAGCAAGTAGTATGCTTAATAGATTGTTGTCTATATGTAACTGATTCTTTTGATTGTATTCTGCCTTTTAGAACACACTGAGAATGGGACATGTTTGGATGTAAACAGGGCATGTATTGAAGATGAAGTGTGTAACAGACAGCTATCTCTGTACCTTAAAGTTTGCTCAGTGAATAAAAAGTGCAACATGAAAGAATGTCAAGCAGCCATAAGGTTCTTCTATCAAAATATGCCTTTTAATGTTGCCCAGATGTTGACATTCTGTGACTGCACCCAACTTGATAAATCTTGCCAAAAAGCTAAAGAACTTCTTCATGGAAAGCCATGTGCAGTCAACATAGTGCCCCCTCCTTCGTGTCTAAGCATAATTCACCAATGCCAAAACAATGAATTATGCAGGTAAGAAAAAAAAAAAAGCTACTTAATATTTGGCTGGTAACATGGTTACCTATAAAATTAAAAATATTGTGTAGATGAAATGAGGGGCATATGTGCACAACACTTTAAAGTGGGTTAAATGCTTCTGAACTGCTTTAATGGTGTTTGCACACGTCTACAGCATATTGTGCATTAATTCCAGCCACTTTAGCACATTTGGTGGTGTAATGTGCCTTAAATGACTTTGGGGCACATCAAACTAAAATACCTCCAGCCATGGAGTGAAGCACTGGGCTGCATGTGGCTCAGGGGCTGTACAGGAAGCCCATGTAGGCAGCCTGGCAGCAGCCTGGGAA